CTCGGCGAGAAACCCGGCAATCGCACTATAGAAGTGATCCTATAAAGTATGATCATACTTTCACAATATCATTTCATTCACAGACTACATTTTACTGAGGACATTGTTCTACCACGACGGATTTTCACGTGTTCATATGATGGTATATGTATAATGTAACATGTGGACGGAGTTTGCCCATTTGAAAATATTTTGCCCATTTGAAATTACATGTTTTTTTATGAAATGGTATACAGCAAAATATAGGGGGAAATCTAATGTATATACAAAAACATAGTTTACAACAAGACATTTATACTTATCAACGTGGCACAGGGACTTAACTATATGAACATTGAATTTTCTCACATTACCTATTCCAATGCATCTCCAATCAAATTCAAGTTGCACATTTCTAGGTACTACATGATAATCTAACACAGGAATCAAAAGGTTTGTGTATTTTTAAAACTGTTATCTCGACGGTTGATGTTTTTAAAGGAATAGCATTCCTCCTCAAAAGCGATGTTTCAATTTAAATTATTAAATTCAGGTACGTTCAAACTACCTGACTTAACTTAACGTAAATACCATGACAAAACATTACCTTTTGTACATGTCAATTTATATTAGATAAAACAACAAAACTGTTTATTTCAAGATATGTCTTTCTTGCCCTTATACTCCTCGCTCTACGAATCCTCAGTCTAACTTTGTTGGTCCATTCGGTTACCATAAATTCTTAACTCTGGTTTCCCTTCAAAACGCATAAATCTTTCGCCTTTTACTAAAGATTTCCGTGGAGGGGAACAACTCAATGAGTCTTACTCAATTTTTTCTATAGCCCACTTCGGTGGGTTCAAAATCAACTTACACAATAAACAAATAACTCACCTGAAACTAATATTGTAGTAAGGAGAATATCCTGAGATTTATTCCGGTTCAAAATCAACTTACACAATAAACAAATAACTCACCTGAAACTAATATTGTAGTAAGGAGAATATCCTGAGATTTATTCCATCATTTTGAGTTAGAAAACAAAAGATTTCGGCCTCTTTCATTCTCAGGTAAAACAAACTGCTTTTCCATTTATATCAGGTGTACATTATTTCCATTAAAACAACGCTAGTATTAGGTGTACGAAACTATTTCACTTAACGTTACTATATTTTTTTACAGTTCTAATCTAAGCTTACTTCACCCTAATTTTCTTTTAGTTGGTGGTGCAATAGATTGTCCTTATATACAAATAAAATAATGTGCATTAACATTACCTATGGTTTCGGAAATATATGTATGCACATTAACACGTTAGTGATCTACCTATTATATATAGATATTTACATTTCTCACACCAATGATCTCCTCTTATACAATTCCCACAGTATATTATATATACATATGTTAGTTTATGTCGAGGTTTTCTTTAGCTGTTTTTTCTCTTTTTTATAAGTTCAGTTTTGATCCTTAAATGAGTAGGTATTTCTCCAGGATAATTATAATAACAGGGCACATTTCACCAATATATTTACAATATTTACACAAAAAAACAAATTCTTCATCCACAAGAAACTTGACACTAATATGGCACTTAATAATGGTCTTCACGGAATAAGGGTCTTCACGGACAACTCCTACTTGTTAGATAGAATCTGAGCACAGACCCTTTTCGCATCCACAAGAAACTTGCTTGTTAGATAGAACCCTTGTCAGCCGTCTTGAAAGGTACTTCTAAATAATAGCGTCAGCTTTCACCTTCAGAAAAGTGGAGACTGCAAACGTTTAGAAACCACCACTAGCATAGTTACAATAACAAAAGTATATCCAAGTTAATCACTTCAGGAACTTTAGCAGTACTTACAAAGGGCACAGAGCCTGTAGCCAAGTGAAGGTCGTGCTGAATGGGTCCCAGACCTTGCTTTGGTCGCGGGAACGGTACCAAGGAAGCATACACACAGGCACACACACACATACACGAAACCATTGAAGAGAATGGGCATTGTATACCCACTTAAAGAAAACTTACACTAACCCTGGATAGTGTATATATATAATATATATATATGTGTGTGTATATGTATGATGATTTTTTTTCTGATAGCATAATCCCATAATCCACCATGGGAAAATAATTAAACGAAAAGTATAGTTAACGGAGGACAACCAAAGTATGCCACCTAACTGTATAGCAGAAACTGTAGGGGAAATCGTGCCATGATTTTTAAAAATCCGGGTTCAGAATATTTTTAACGAAATAAAATTTCTGAAGTGAAGAAAAACATGCGCCACAATTAGGTTAATTTAGCTACTAATGCAATTAGTCTCATAAAAGTAAAGGACATTTAACATTACATTTTCCTAAAACATTTTACTGGCACCTACACCCATATAAATGTCAAATTCCTTTCACTACCCATTCTATGATATTGTATAAAATGGGTTATTTTATGTTTTGGAGACCTTCAATCGTTCAAATGTTCTATAGCTAATACCGGAATACAAAGTAACATATATATGCAAAGTTGCATAATAATTTACCAGTATAAATAATCGTTAGGCAAGTTATCTTCTGGATAAGCTTATCCTATGAGCTCACTGGGATATATCAAACCAAAAGTAGTGAACAGTTGCTAAGCCATTCAAGAATCTTGGTCTTAGTAATGTAAGACCGTGGTCTACCGTGAACTTACTTGTGTATAACGAAATGCAATAAGGGGGATAGCGCGAACGCAGTCCCCCGCTATCAAAAATTGCGCACTCGAGTTAACCACATTTGGGTTAATCGCAGGGGTCAGCGCCACCGGAGTGCAATGGTGAGCCTCGCCCTGGGAAAACCGCCTTCATGATCACGGTATCTCCTGTGCCAGGTAAGTATGCTTTTCCAACCCACGCGCCGACCCACGCTCACCCATACTGAGGAGTCCACGCGTTCTACAACACTTTATACAAATGTCAAGTTTGACTTTTTCTTTACGAAGATTATTCTACGGAATGATACTAGTGTTCATATTTCAAAACTGCATTTGGGAACAAAAAGGTCAATTGCTATTCATTCAATTTTGAACTATCCTTATATCGTAAATCATAGTATACATACATATATATATACATACATATATATATATATATATATATATATATATATATATATATGTATATATATATGTGTGTATATATATATATATATATATATATATATATATATATATTCATGTAACTAATAAATACATCCATGAATACATATGGATACACAAGAAAATATTCGTATAAATGTAATATTCACATGATTTAAAATCACACAGGGGTATGAATTTCTTAAACCTTGGTGATATTACGCTAGACTATCATCAAATGGAAATAATGGTCAGAGTTCGCAATACTATATATATATATACATATATAGAAAAATAAACGAAAGAAAACGAGTTCTTTTCTGGGTATACTTAAGTAAACATTATGACCGTTATCTAATATGTAAAAAAATATACATACATGTACATATTTATATGCAAATATAGATGTACGAACGTGCTCGTTTGCGGGCAGGTTTTTGTCCGCGCGTCTGTAGGCGTTTATGCGTGAACGTTTGTGCGTTTACATGCATTGACGCGTGTCAGCTTGTACGGGTATATACAGTGTCTAAATATTTATATAGACCTTGGGCATGTGTATGCAGGGGTCTGTCTGTTATTGTGAAAGTGTGGCCGTGTATGAGTGTGCATGTGTTAATAAAGAGGTTTTGTGACATTTGGATAAGAAGCTAAAAGCATTTCTCCACATGTACTTACTTTGAAGTCCGATGAAGATATCCAACGTTGAAAATACCAGCAACAGTTTCTTGGATTTACATATAGGAAACATCGACATATGCCAGTTATGATTTACAATACTTCAAACGTCAGGTCGTTTCGCCCTTCTATCTATAAAGGATTTCACTAGCAAGTCCTCAGAAACATTTTCTCGGACACACATGCAACATTCTTTCAGTATCGCTTCTCGGCCTTTTGGCTAAGATCAAAATGTAGTATCTGTTCTTATCAGCTTAATATCTGATACGATCCCCATGTGGGATCTACGATATTAAACTGATTTTTGGAAAATGGCGAAGTGCTAGGGGCTTGCTCCACATTTGCCGCGGATCGGCCCGGTATTGCAGTACCTCCGGGATTGGTCCACTCCCTCCGGGAGGATATAAAGAAATAGTTATATAAACTTTAATTTTCCTAGCTTGATAGCAGCCCTTTCTTAACAGCTGGTAAGATCATTTTCCAGGAAATGGTGACACTACGGATTTGCTCCATCGTTATCGGAGATCGGGTCGGTAGTGCAGTTTTAAACTAGCTTAAAGAAAATAATGACGCTTAACGGTGAAGTTCCATCGTTGTCCAAGTAATGCTGTATAACTAGAACAATATATAAACACATTGGTAAGTTACAACAATTTCTGCAAATAGTACACAAAATTAAAAAAAAATTCTGAGCACTGGCCACCTGTTCCAGTACCTCCTAGACTGATCCAATCTCTCCGGGAAAATATCAACTAATAAAACATGAGCTACGATCACATTCAGCTCAAGGTGTGTTAAAGACCGGTGCCTTCCCATTCCATGTGACACCTTACTATGGTAACTTATGGCATATATAACTATCGTGTCCTTCATTAATCGCGATTACCCATTCATTCAGACTTCGGCGTTACTGTTATATAAAGTAACAATGGGGGTACTCGAGCATGATCATTATACTCTGTGACACTACCAATAATGATGGCATCAAAAGTAGACAAAACAATTATTATATCTAATAGTATTACTTGTAATAGTAAACACAAAAATATCTACATTTGCGAACAAATTAGTTGCTTAATTCAAATTCGGTTTAAACACTCGAAACGATGAAAACTACATTAAAAGCAAGTATTGACATTTACTTCATTTTACTGGCAACACGAATGTATTTTTTTGTTTTTATCAGAAGTCTTCAAAAGTTTAACATATCTTCTTGTGGACTGATATTGAACCACTCAGCCTGTGTGATCCTCCTATGAACATCGGTAAGCCGAGTCAGAGCGGCCATCAAACCTCAAGCACACTTGAGAGCCACTTCCCGCTGAAAGGATTACACTAACAGCATCATCGTTGGACATATTCCGAGAATCTCGGCGAGAAACCCGGCAATCGTACCATAAAAGTGATCCTATGAAATATTACCATACTAACAATATTGTTCTCCTACACCGAATTTGCACGTTTTCATATTGTTATATGCATGATGTAATATGTGGATGTAGTTTGCCATGTACTATGAATGCATATTTCCTCTAAGAGCCTATTTCGAACATATTTCCAATGAAATTTCAGTTCAAGTGCATGTGTTCTAGGAATTGAAGAATAATTGAATATGGGTTATCATAAGGTTCATAAATCTTAAAACCATAATCTTGATACAGTGATTATACAAATAAAACATTCCTCATGCCAACTTCCCCGCTGAAAGGATTACACTAACAGCATCATCGTTGGACATATTCCGAGAATCTCGGCGAGAAACCCGGCAATCGTACCATAAAAGTGATCCTATGAAATATTACCATACTAACAATATTGTTCTCCTACACCGAATTTGCACGTTTTCATATTGTTATATGCATGATGTAATATGTGGATGTAGTTTGCCATGTACTATGAATGCATATTTCCTCTAAGAGCCTATTCGAACATATTTCCAATGAAATTTAAGTTCAAGTTGCATGTGTCTAGGAATTGAAAAATAATTGAATATGGTTATCATAAGGTTCATAATCCTTAAAACCATATTCTTGATACAGGATTATACAAATAAACATTCCTCATGCATTTCAATTTTAAATACAATATTCAATACCATTAAAAAGGGGGCATAAATACTTGGTTAATGTAAGCATCTTGCATACACATTTCCTTTAAAGAGTACTGATCACTATTACATAAAGTAACAATACCATTATTTCAAGATATATCTTTTCTGCTCTTACTCTTTATTCCTTTTGTGCTCGGAATATCTTTCTTGGACATTCGGTCACTGCTTACAGTTAAATCTGGTTTCCCTTCAAAACACAAAAATCTTTTGCCATTTACTTTAGATTTCCTTGGAGTGGAACTCAATGAGTCTCTCATTTGTTTTCTATAGCCCAATTTTGTACCATAGGAGTGACATAACGAATACATATGACATGAATATGACGTCATAGGAGTGAAATAAGGAATGAGTGACCCCTCAGATATAAATTTCAAAGGACTGACAAAGAATAACAAAACCAGAGGGAAGAGAGACTTGTTACTGTAGTCATGGAACCTTCCTTCTCGACGAATACCTTCACTGAATTGCGTACAATTTACATCTCAGTTCAAGAACGACTGTGAGGTGGAAGATAATTTCAGTAATGGAGAACAAGAATTAAAAACAAGTTTAAAATACATTAACAATCCAGTGGTTCTAGTTTTCAAAATAAAACCTTTATGATATTAATAATTCACTCCACCATTAGGCCTACATCACTCCAATAAAATGTCATTCCTTTAATGTGGTATTTATGACATTCCTATGACAAGCTATGACAGTCATTCTATGACAAGTCATTACTTCGACAGACCCGAACAAATACATACATAATATAGAAGCATATATATATTAAAAAATACATGCAAATATGTACACGAACATATATAAATATGCAAATATATATCAAGGCAATAAAATACATATATACATAGAATATATATACATAGATACAAATATACATCTATAGAGAGAAAGACTTATATTACATTGATATGTCTAAATGTACATATACATATACATAAACATCTATACATATACATACACATCTATAAATATGCATACACATCTATACATATACATACATATATATATGAATGCATGAATATATATTTATATGTATATATTTATACAGTTATACAAACATACATACAGATATATAAATATACATATTTATACATTATATATATACAAACATACACATATATGTGTATATATAAATAAACATATATGAATATCTACATATACAGATATGCACACATGTCTGTAAATGTGTATACATAAATATATATATATATATATATATATATATATATATATATATATATATATATATACATATATAAATATATAAATATATATATATATATACATATATAAAAAATATATATATATATATATATATATATATATATATATATATATATATATATATGCAGTAAGTCCCCAACATAAGAACGTAATGGGGACCGAGAGGCTGTTTGTAAGTTGATTTGTTTTTATGTCGAAAGTCAGGCCTCCATTACCTTTTTTCCCATTGGTTTAAAGTTTTGTTTACATTAAGAATACTTGTAAATAAATCCCAATAAGTACGACATACCTTATACAGTACCAGACTCTTGAACTATATTTGTGCCCGGGAAATTTGAAGTTTGCTAGCATCTTTCAAACAATTTTTTGGACTTTAGTACTTTAAAAATTTTGTTTGTATGTATGGAATGTTCATAAGTAGAATGTTCTTAAGTAGGGGACTATCTGTATATATATATATATATATATATATATATATATATATATATATATATATATATATATATATATATATATACATACAGAAAGACAGATAGATAGAGATATATAAGACACACATAAAGTGAAAAATACATATATGCATAAACATCCTGTACATATGTAGACATAAATACATATACATATGCATCTATATATACATACACACAAAATACATATATATACATACATATATATACATAAATGCACATATATGTATATATACACATGCATATACAAATATCTATATACATATATTGATATATATACATATATTTTCAAATATATATATATGTGTATATATATATATATATATATATATATATATATATATATATGTAGTATATATGTATATACACAGACACACACATACACATATATATATATACATATATATATACATATATATATACATATATATATATATATAAATATATATAGGGCAGAAAAACCCACAATGTAAAAACTAGATTTATTAAAAACGAGATAACAATTTCGGAATCCACCTGGATTCCATCCTCAGGTCTGAGGATGGAATCCAGGTGGGTTCTGAAACTGTTATCTCATTTTTAATAAATCTAGCTTTTACATTGTGGGTTTTTCTACCATAGTATCAACACGGTAGTGTTTTCATCATTCATATATATATATATATATATATATATATATATATATATATATATATATATACTGCATATATATATATATACACACATGTATATATATGTATATACACATGTATATATATATATATATATATATATATATATATATGTGTGTGTGTGTGTGTGTGTGTGTGTGTGTGTGTATGTGTGTGTATACACATGTGTATACATATACATATATCTTTAAAACTGCATAAAATGTAAAAAAAGAAAAAGAAATGAAAATAAATTAGTACCTTTCAAACTCCTTCTCATATGGGCAAATAACCAAATATATGTGTAAATATGCATACATATATATACATATGTATATATGTACCTATATGCATACATGTGTATATTTACAAATATACATATACATACATATACATATGATTTCACTTTATTTATTTATATATTTTAGTTTTAGACTGTCAGTTTGAGGGACTGTGAAGAAGTAAAACATCCTTGAATCAGGCGTAAACTCTCAGGGGATCATAGAATGAGCTAAAAAAATAATAATAAAAAAATAAAAAATAGACTAAAAACTCTTCAATCTGAAGCAGGAGAAAAAGTTATTTGTGCATTAGGTTACCAGATTAGTTAAGTGGGTACATTCAGTTACAAAAGTAAATGTACTTAATCTCGTAAAGGTCATTCCACAGGATGAAGAAAGTCAATGAAGGTGCAAGAGTTTCCCCATATATTTACTGGAACAGAACCAAAACAAAAATAGTCCCATTTCTGAAAAAGATATCCTGGTCTATAATTCTACACACCAGAATCATTAACATCAACAAGAAAAAGCATTAGTGTTGGAGTGATTTAACTTCTCACTGTTTTAAGGAAATTGATGCCACTGAATGCTCTGGGGGATCCCACTTGAAATTTCAACATAGAAGAAACAGGAAAACTACTGGCACCAAGTTTCTTTTTTTTTTCTTTTTTTGGGAGCCCTCCCTTCATTACAAGAACCAACATAAGTGTTGGGTTCCATTTATGCAAATGGTTCTATGATCACCTATCCCTGCAAGGATATATTACATATGAAACTCTGAACAAATATCTCGGCAATGATTTCAATGACTGGCTCCCTCTATCCACAACATTACACCAACATAGTCACATACGTGTATATACATCTATATATACACATATGTATATATATATTTACTAGTGGCCAAAATTAAGCTACCACTCTCAATTCGAAATACTGAGCTAATGTACTTGGTATATCCAGGTGGCTTGATAAAATGAAAGAAAAAATAGAAATTTGTTTGGTACATTCTTGGGAGTTTTTATCATCAGCTTCATTGTTTCTATGAATTTTTTCTTTAACTAGACATAAAATGCAATAAGAATCATTGACAGTTTCAGGTAAATTATTAGGGAAAAGGCTTTGCTTAAAGACCCCTCTTTTGTCTTGCCTCACTTTACTTGTGGTTCCTGTTGCTTCATTACTTGCAAACAATCATTACTTGACCAATATATCACAGTTTACATTACATTTTTCACCCGTCTTACAAATAGTTCTTCAACTTTTTTGATGTGTAAAAAAAAATTAAGCAATTCCTTTCTCAATGTAACTTGAAGATGTTTTTTGCAGTATAATTACCCACTTATCATTGAAAATCTGTATTTGATTACTTAGGTCTTATTGAAGTTGACTTTCATTTGTTATAGAATATGGCCCCTGCTCTAGACTGAGTATGAGAGCTCTTCTCCATGACAAAGACTACAGCTGCAATAAAACTGTCAAGAGGATCAGTACAGTAAGGTCTACAGTGCAGTAGATTGTTAAGAAGCACAAGGAAACAGGAAGAATGAAAGACTGGCAAAAGAAGACAACAAAAGGAGAGGACAGTGTCATTATAAAGGCTGCTGTACAAGATAGAAGGAAGACAACTAACTCATTAGCTTAGGAAGAATTTTGACACAGACTTGAATGGTAGGACAGAGAGAAC